AGTCAAGGCCCCAGTGGGCCAAGCCGCCTGGCCTCGTTTGTGCCCGCCGCCCCGGGTGGGCCAAGGCCTGCAACATTGTCCCCCTGCTTACCTAAGGGGCGATGGGACAGTCCGGTTCTGGCTCCCCACCCGGCCTCAGGCCCAGTGGCACGGTGCTGTTTCCCCTCATCCCCAGATCGCACAGGGGAGGTGCGAAGGAACGGGTCGCTGCCGCCTCCCCGCTTGGCCACCTCTGGTGCCTTTCCAGGCGGCCGGGCCCTCCTTTTGGCCGGCGGCGGCTCCTGGCTGCCGCTGCCATGGCCCCATTTGGAGCCTGCAGGCTGAGCAAGGGCCACTGGAGCACCCAGCCCGGCCGGCAGCTTGAAGGAAAGTGAAAGTGAGGGCAAAAGGCAGCAACGCAGCCAATGGAGAGAGACGCTGTGTGAGTGACACACCAGGGCACCAACCAATTCCAGAGCGTGTGGAACCTTCTAGAGAAGTGCCACCACCAAATGGGCTTTATAATATAGGGAGAAGATTTATGTAACTTGTTTATATTGTAAGCCTCCTTGAGTTTTGTAAGGAAGAACAGTGGCTAATAAGTGTTTTACGTAAGTAAACACCTTTTTGGCGCCACTGAAACCGCTTTCCCAGCGCCTCTCCTTGGCTTCAGTGGTGCTACTTTCCGTTGTGCTGAGAGAGTCAGCTGCAGGTCTGTAGAATCCCATGTGTCCCCCCCCTCCCTCCCAAGGTGACATCCCTCGAACCTCACCTCCTCCTCCTCCTCCCACAGGTGTCTCCAGCAGCTCAAGGCTGATGGCATCCAACTAGAGGACCTCTGGAAAGATTCCCAGCATGAGGAGGACGGAGTGAAGATGGCACTGAAGGCCATCCGGAGGGTTAAGCCGGACTTCGAGCCACCATCACCTGTCCGCCCAGCCGACATCTGTACGGTTCCCCTCTTCAAGGACTTCTACACAAAGGTCAGTGGCGCTTGGTCTGGTTCTACATTCAGCTCCTAGAGCCCAGCTCTTAGGGGTCAGTGTTTAAATGCATTCCTGACACAAAAGAACACCTTGTGGGCATCCTCACAGTCTGTGGCCAGTCTAGTGAGAGCCAGCGTAGCGTAGTGGTGAGAGTGTCATACTGGGAGCTGGGAGACCCAGGTTCGAATCCCCACTCATGCCACAGAAGCTTGCTGGGTGACCCAGGGCCAGTCACATGCTCTCAACCTAATTCACCTCACAGGGTTATTGTGAGGATACAACAGAGGCAAACTGCTTTGGGTCCCTGCTGGAGAGAAAGGCAGGGTAGAAATGAAGTGAAATGTTCAAAATAAAAATAAACAGGGCCTCCGAAGTTCCCTGCCCTCCTGGGAGTCTGTTCCCTGCTGACTGCTCTGCTCTGCAACTCCTGTGACATGGAGGGATCGATTGTGGGGGCGCCTTTACCATGGGTCTGCTGCTTGGAGCTGGGGGGAGGCCGCAGGCAGTTTCTAGTTGGGGGACTTCCACAACTGCCCTAGAAAGCTGCTGACCCAGCACACCAGAAATCCGGTCCTGTTGCACAGTTTCTAAATCGGCAGTCCTCCATCAGTCTGAGCGAGCATGCCTCTGGGCTCTTCCTCCGTGCCACTGGACTACCTCTGCTCTTGTCGGCGCTCGAGTTCAAGGCCCACACGCACAACTCACTTCCCTCCGGTCTTCTTGCAGGAGAAGCCCGTTTCTTACCCCAAGCTGGAATTCACAGCCCAAGAGCTACGCGAGCGGTTTCGGGAGCAGCTGCAGCTGGAGGCATCCAACATGGTCACCATCGACTCTGTGGAGGCAGACAAGCCCCTGACGGAACAGGCCGTCAAAGCGGTAAATGGGGCTGTTCTGCGGGGGGGAGGGGCTTATGCTGGAAAAGACCTGTGCCGTCTCAAGGTCTGAGTTTAATAATAATACTTTTTTTTTTAACCAGTTTAGTTTTTCAATAAAGTTACAGCCACATGCTTTTACATATATAACATTTGAGTCTACTTTTCCTCTTTTTCCTTTAAATAATAATAATACTTAGTATCGCTATACAGCAGAGGTCCCTGATGTTTTTGAGCCTGGGGGCACCTTTGGAATTCTGACACGGAGTGGTGGGCGCAACCCTAAAATGGCTGCTGCAGGGGGAAGAGCCAACCACAAAATGGCTGTTGTGGGAGGTGGAGCCACATGCAGAGGAAGCCTAGGTGCAGAGGAGAAGAGGGGTCATTATCTTTGGAACCACCTTTCTCTATATATACCCCCCCCCCCGGGAAGGGCATATGCTTGGGAGAGAGGGTTGCCAAGTCCTATCTTCGCCCCCAGCGGGGGACTTGGGGGGGGGCGTTACTGGACGGGACAGGGCAACCCCGACGTGATGACGTCACGTTGGGGGCGTCCCCCCGCCTGCCCGACAGGTGTGCTGGCTCCCTGCATTTCCCCTTGTGCCTGACCTCCGCAAAGATTGGGTGCGGGGAAACGCCGGCTCACTGCAGTTAAAGGGGCCCCTTTAACTGCAGGGAGCCAGCGTTTCCCTGCGCCAGATCGGCTGGCCCGCAGCTGCTCTCAAGAGAGAAGGGTGGTGGCAGGTGTTCGGGCTTGGGGGCAGGGCTCTCCCGGTGGCCAGATGGCCGCTGGCAGGTAGAATCCCCCCAAAAGCGGGGGACGCCTGCCAAATTGGGGGGGGGGGGTTTGGCAACCCTATCGGGAGATAAAAACCGCCTGGTGATTCCTGGCCCAAAGGATATCTGGCTGTCCTCATCCAGAGCCAGGGCCTTCTTGGCCGTGACATCGGCCTGGTGGAACTCTCTGCCTCATGACATCCAGGCCTTGTGGGATCTAATGGATTTCCGCAGGGCCTGTAAGAGAGAGGTGCTCTGCCAGTCCTGTGGCCGAGGACAGTAATGATTCGCCACCAAGCCTGGCCTGGCCCTCCCTATCTCCCCCCCTCTAGAGAAGGATAGGGAATATTCAGCGCCATCTGCTTAGCCTGATTATTGTTGTTTTTTATTGTTTAGAATTTTATCTGTTCATGTATCTATAGTGTTCATTATAATTGTATTTATAACTTCTTGTTAGCCAACCCGAGCCCCACATTGGGTGGTGGTGGTGTAGCAGTGTATAAATTTAATAAATAAATAAAATAAATAGAAAGGACACTGGGGAGGAGGGCTGGGAGTGAACGAAACAAAACACTCTGCGCCCAGATGGCCGTTTATGCATAATCACACACAGTTTCACAGTGGCAAATATTTCCTAACAGTATTTTTCTCCAGCTGCTATTTGGGGGACTTTCTTCTGTGTTCGGGCTTTTCCCACAGGTTTCCTTTTGGCAGTTTATTTAATTCTTTATTTATTTATCATTCAATTTATATCCCGCTCGAACCCCGAAGGGTCTCTGAGCGGCTTACACACAATCATTGGTTCCTAACTAAGGCCACAATTATACGGGGGGTGACTTCCTACCAGCACCCGGCAGCAGGGCTTGTTGTTGGAGTCTGGCTTCTTAGTTGTCACAGTGACTAATTATGAGACTCCCTCAGTGAACCCACCCCTTGTCTTCCTGTTCAGTAACACTCAGAGCCCTGCAGCAGCGACATTCCAAGGAACCTGGCGCCCTCGCTCCCCTTCTTCTGCAAGCGGGGGCTGCTGGCTTCCTTATATTCCCCCCCCCAGATTAGGACCCCAGCAGTGATTCCGACTCCTCTTTCTGCCCCTCGTGTAGCGGGAGCTCCTGGCTGTGCTCCGTTCCCGGTGGCGGGCGGCCCTCCTGCAGAGTTTCCAGGAGACCAAGCTCCGCCTGGGCCAGAGGACGTTGGGGCAGCTGAGCTTGTATCCTTTCCTGTGTGTGTTGAAGAATGAAGAGTACGTGGACATCTTGATACGGGTAAGGCATGCCGGGGGGGGAGGGTGCTGTCAAAATGAGCCTGTGGTTCATCGGCTCTGGACCCACGTGTAACAGCAATGCTCCCTCTAAGCTGTGGAGACTTGTGAGCAAAAATTCTACTTTGTGAGCTACTGGCAAAAAAGTTGTGAGCGAGCGATTTGGCTACTGCATACATTAGTTTGCTTTGGAGCCATCCTTCCTGAGCTAAGACAAAAATATGTGATCCGGAGGCTAAAAAACTGTGAGCTAGCTCACACAAACTCAGCTTAGAGGGAACACGAATCACAAGATGGTTCACTGCTGCATCCTGTTAGAGAATCTGGACTGGACAAGTTCTAAAGGGTGGTGCTTGGAGAGAGAATTTCACAGCGTTGCCCCTTGGCACACAGCGTCCCTCAAGGGGCGATCCTCTCTCCTATGTTGTTCGATATCTGTATGCACCCCCTTGCCTGGTTGGTCTGGGAGTCTGGGCTGTATTGTCGCCAGTATGCTGTATCTGTTGATGGATGGCCGGCCGGATGCCGCTCCAGATATTTTGGAGTTTGGAGGCTGTGGCTGGACTGAAATTAAATCCATCAAAGACGGAGGTCCCGTTCCCAGGCCGCAGGGGGATAAGGGCAGGGATCCGACTCTTGACGGAGCGTTATCGACACCAACAGTAAAGAGTCTGCGTGTGATTTTTGGAAGCCTCGCTTTCCATGGAGGCCCAGATCACAAATGTTGCTAGATCTGCATTTTATCATCTTTGGCAGGTCAAGCAACTGGCTCCCCGTCTCTCTTTCTGCGACCTAGCCGCAGTGATTGCCTGGTCACCTCTAAACTGGGCTGCTCTGTCTTGCTCTACCTGGGGTCACCTGGAAACTTCAGCTGGTCCAAAATGCTGTGGTGTGTGTCTTCACTGGGACGCCATTAAGAGCTCAAATACAACCGGTTCTCCCGCCGGCTGCACTGGCTCCCAGTTGAATACCAGATCTGGTTCAAGGTTAGGGTGCTCACCTTTAAAGCCCCATGCAGCCTGGGACCTACATATCTTCAGGTCCATCTCTCCCAGTAGGTCCCTCAAAGAGCCTTGCGCTCTATAGACCAACATCTTCTGGTGATCCCCAGCCAAAAAGATAACCGCTTAACCTCAACCAGATCCAAAAGACCAACATCTTCTGGTGATCCCCAGCCGAAAAGATAACTGCTTAACAACCAGATCCAGAGCCTTTTCAGCCTGGTGGAACACTCTCCCAAGTGAGATACGAGGGCCCTGAAGGACTTATTGCAGTTCCACAAGGCCTGTAAAATGGAGATGTTCTGCCAGGACTATGGTTGAGGCAGCGGGTGTCCAACCACATCGGCCTCCCCTCCTCTGCACTGTACTTTGCACTGTGTTTATGGGCCTTGTGTCATCTCCTTTACTGCTTTCTCGCAGCCTTCTTGCCCTAGTAGTAATCACCATCCAAAAGTACACACCTGCAGAGCTTATGGGAACAGTTGTTAATTTGTGCCTGATCGCCATCTAATGAATTAGCTAACCTGATGTTTGTGTAGATTTTAACGATGATGTAATTGTGTTTTATTGTTTAAAATCCATTGAGTTATATTTATTGCTGTAACCCACGCTAAACCTTGCTGTGCATGGAGGCCGGGCGAGAAATCAAATAGATAAATAAGTAATAAATAAAACCACGTTTAGCATCAGATATCTCCAGGTTCTATCAATCTTTAAATGGGGTCGTACATAAGAGGTAATTTTGGGTTCTGTTCTTTGCACTAAGGCCAGCAAACGAGGCTGGGAACCTTCAGAGAGTCTTTATTAGACAAGATGTTAGAAAAGACAAGTATGTGAGAATTAACCCAATATCCACTGTAAAAACAAGTGCCAAACTTATCAATGCTCCTATGATTTCTGAACCGTAGTATAGCAAGTAAAATTTGAAAGCAAACCAGCTTTCAGGTTATTGGATTAAAACTGCTTATAAGGATTTTCTATAGACCCAAGTCAATCACAGAGGAAAAACTCACCTACTCTTCTCTGAGAGCTCCTTCCAGCGAAATCCAATTTGCTTATTACATCAGTATGTTTTTGTAGAAGAATATCAGTCTTATCTTACTCTGAATCTGAATTATTGGCTCTTAACTATGGATGAGGTAATCTAACAGGTGCATCTAAAAATACATCTGATATGTCCTCATTGTCTTTGCTAAAGCAAGATAAGACGTCCAAACTATTAATCTCTATTGGAAGACAATGCATCTGGTATTTCTGTGTCTGGTTCAATTAGCTGTCAAAGAACAAAGAAAAAAACCTTATGCGGTCAGAGTTTGCTGATAGGTGAACCTAGTATGACCTCCCAACTATAGGAAAATAGGCATGATCATTAGGAAGAGTGATGATGTACTCAAAATACTGCTATGCGTGGGGTCGCCGGGTGTGTCGTTCTGGGACCTGCTGGCACTGCTGGGGATGGGATAGGTCTCCTAAGGGGTCCAAAGCAGACCTTGGAAGCAGTTGAGCGCTGCAGAGTCCAAATGCAGGAATCCCTGGAGGCATGAATGAATTAAAAAGTAAATAAAATAAAATGTTGAGCAACTCCCTACGAGGAACCCTCACGCACAAACGGGTAGGTTCCCAGAGGGAGTCCTGGCGGATCCCGGTGATCATTTTGTCGGTGTCTCCAAATTTTACGAAAAGAGATTGCATGGAGCTCTCAACATTAAGCACTGACATTTGAGAATAGGAGTCTACCCTCTGAGATTTGTGTTAGCCTTGTGTGACAGAACAGGCCTGCGCTGACTTGCAGACCCTGCTCTGGCTACCCCTCCCTGGTGTTGCCAACTTCTTCCTCCCACTAGGGTAACTCACCTGCTGCCACCTGCCCTTTTTGGGGGGGAGGTTCCTGCTAGGAGGGACAGGGCTCCTAGCCCCCCCCTTCAACCTGAGGCCCCGCCTCTCTGTCCTCCGTTACCCAGAACCCGGTTCCCCTTGGGACTGATTACAACTTTGGAGCTCCCCTGGAGAAGGAGGGACAGGGCTCCTAGCCCCCCCCTCAACCTGAGGCCCCACCTCTCTGTCCTCCGTTCCCCTTGGGACCGATTACGACTTTGGAGCTCCCCTGGAGAAAATAGCCCCATGCACACCCTGACTGCTTTCCTCTTGCGTTAGCATGGCCAAGATGGGTGGGGGAATCTCGGTGGTACAGAGTCTGAGGACCAGCCTCCCAAGTCAAAAAAGATTTTGTCGAAAAGAAAATATTTACAAGCGTCCTTCAGCACAGCACTAGATCAGCAAATGGATTTCAAAAGCAAATTGGTCATAAACGCAATCCTAATCCCTCTCCTAGACATACCCTAACTGATGTTAAAATAGGGCAGGCATGAATGATCTTAAGAGGTTAACAAAGTTCCTGTCTGTGTCCTGTTACCTGGGAGACCGCGTGGTCAGCAAAAGGCGGCCGCCACAACTGACCATCGCTCAGAAGTCTGTTCTCTTCGAGGAATCAGCACCCAAGAGACCCTTCCTCCCCGGAGCAAGGGCTTTTATTGAACCTGTGTCTCCACCCCCTTTACATCACTCCCTCTACCCTCTTGACCTGGTCTGTCCAGGTTGCAGATGCATCATGGGAGCCCTACTGGAAGGCATTCTGGGAAATCTCCAGGAACCACCTGGAGATTTCCTAGCACCGAATTCTTTTGGTAGTTTCCCCACCAGGGCCATTAGCAGATGGGTAGATGTAGGTAAGGAGCTGCGGTGGCTCAAGTGGTTAAGACGCTGAACTGCAGGCTGTGGAAGGTCGGTAGTTCAGCAGTTCAAGACCCGGGTGCCGCATGATGGAGTGAGCTCCCATCTCTAGTTCTAGCTCCTGCCAACCTAGCAGTTCGAAAGCAAGAAATTGTAAGTAGATAAATAGGTACCACTTTGGTGGGAAGGTAACAGCGTTCCATGCGCCTTGGTGTTTAGTCATGCCGGCCACATGACCACGGAAACGTCTTCGGACAGCGCTGGCTCTTCGGCTTTGAAACGGAGATGAGCACTGCAACCCTAGAGTCGGATTCGACTGGCTTTCGAGCAAGGGAACCTTTACCTTTACCTTTACCTAGATGTAGCCTAGCAGGCAAGTGACCTGGTCCCCTGCCATTTCCAGTGGGGGGGGGGAGGGGGAACCCACACTTTTAAAACTCAGAGTGTGTGCGGTGGGGGGTTACTCCACACCTTGCATCCAGTAATCAAGGGAAAGCCCCGCATCTGTTCCCGCATCTCTCTCTCCTCTCTGTTCTGTGTTCCCTTTGGTGGGAATGTTGCCTTCTTAAAGACGAACAGGTGGCCTGCTGTCTCAGAGAATGCTGTTTGCTTCCCCTTCCAGGGCATCTCCAGCCTCCCGCCACAGGGAGAATCCCTCCTGATCTTGGCAAGGGAACTTGGCACCAAGGTCTACAACAAGTACGTCATGCAGAAGAAATCCTGGAGCCGTCTGGTGGAGAAGATCCAACACGTCTACGACAGTTACGCCCAGCTGTTGGCGAAGGACACTCCGGTACACCGTGGCTGGCCTGTGTGGGGCTAGAAGGGTGGGGGTAGTCCAGCCAGTGGATGCATCAACCCAAGTAGGGTAGCGGGGGGTGGGGGTGGGGAGTCTAGCGGGGCAGAACTCCCACCAGGGGACGCCCTTGGCTTTGCTGTTGCGTATCCATAAGCTCCAGTGGTCCTTTCTTTGAGGAGCAAAGAATGAACAGCTTTGAATCTGTCACTGTGTCTCTGCCTGACTTATCTCACAAGGCCGTTGTGAGGATAAAATGTTGGGAGAGACTGTATGCGCTGCACTGAGGAACAGAAAGAACGGGTGGGGGAAATGTACGGTTTCCCCATGGAGACAACTGGTTATTAGCCTGTCCTGTCTGAACTGCGGGATGTGGAGTTTTTTTTAGCTGTTGTAGTTTTTCCGGGTTGTATGGCCGTGGTCTTTGCATTGTAGGACCTGACGTTTCGCCAGTAGCTGGGACTAGCATCCTCAGAGGTATAACACAGAAAGATGGAGTACTCTCTGTGTCAAGGTGAGAAGAAAAATGGTAGGCAGGTAATTTATATTTACTCAGGAAGGTGGGGTAGGGCTGAGTCATTATCTTGTAGGAGTCCATGTTCACAGCCTGGGGAACTCCTACAAGATAATGACTCAGCCCTACTCCACCTTCCTGAGTAAATATAAATTACCTGCCTACTATTTTCTTCTCACCTTGACACAGAGAGTACTCCATCTTTCTGTGGCATACCTCTGAGGATGCCAGTCACAGCTCCTGGCGAAACATCAGGTCCTACAATACCCAGACCATTGCCACACAATCTGGAAAAACTACAACAGCTAATGAACTCTGGCCGTGAAAGCCTTTGACAACGTATTGTGGGGGTTTTGTTTTGATTAGATGTTTCAGTTGACTTGGGGTGAGGGTGGCAGAAAGAGTCTTTGGCTGGGCTCATGTTGACTCTTGGAAGCTTTGGTTTTGAACCTCCAGTTTTTTTCAGGAGGGTCCTCCTTGCTTTATTTCTAAAGACGTTTCAACGCCAGTCGCTTCTTTTTTTAAAACCGGGGAGAACCTTCAGTGGATCTAATACAAAGTCTGAAAGCAACAGAGGTGACATGGAGATGGTTTGTTTTGGAGCTGGCAGACGGCCTTCTTTCGGGTGCCGGCATCCTTACAACTAACTCCGTTTCCTCTGGAGATCTGATTGTGGGGTTCTCCCCTCTCGGACTGGCCAGGTCAGGGCTTAGCTGAAGAGGAATGGCCCCCAAGACATCGATCTAGTTTTATTTTATTTTGCAAAATTTGTACCCCGCCTTTCTGCCCTCACAAGAGCCACGGAGACAGCTTGTTCAGTTTTTATGGCAGCCCAGGGGCCATTCCGAAGCAGGGGAAAAACCACACCCACTTTTATGAAAGGAATTACCTGTGTAAAATCTCAGCATGCATCATTCATCTTAAAACAGCTAACAGTTTAAGGGTTAGAATCCAAGTAGATGATACACAGGATGTTGACGTGGCCCGTATTTTCACTACAGGGAACAGAAACTTCACTGCAGATACAGCCATTCTTTGGTCAGTAAGATTTTGAGAGTCTGCTGCTCAGATGGCTGATGGAGCCCCTGAATATAAGAACATAAGGGTAGCCAATGTTGGGTCAGGCCAGTGGCCCATCCAGTCCAACACTCTGTCACACAGGGGCCAAAACCACCAGGTGCCATCAGGAGGTCCAGCAGTGGGGCCAGGGCACTAGAAACCCTCCCACTGTTGCCCCCCCCAAGCACCAAGGATACAGTGCATCACTTGCCCCAGACCGAGAGTTCCTATCTATACCTTTTGGCTAATACCACTGATGGACTTCTGCTCCATGTGCTTATCCAATTCCATCTTGAAGCCGTCCATGCTTGTAGCTGCCGCCGCCACCTCCTGTAGCAGTGAATTCCATGTGTTCATCACCCTTTGGGTGAAGAAGTACTTCCCTTAATCTGTTCTAACCCAACTGCTGGGCACCCTTGGTGGTTGGTGGGTTTGCCCGGGCAATCGGGGCTTGACCCTTCGGTCTCCTCTCTGCAGCCGGACCATTACCTGCCGCGGGAATATTGGGAGCAGCTGGAGGCGGAGGCCGGCTACGGCTCATCCCTGGTCGCCCAGGAGTGCGTCTGGCCCCACTCTCTGCTGGTGCAACTGGGCCTCCACCTGGTTGAGCTCCTGGTGCAGGTCCTCAAAATGGAGAGCAACCTTCTCACCCCGGGCCTGGAGCCGAAACTCATCCCCATCCTCTACCACGTCTACTCTTTCCGCAGCGGCCGCCAGGTGAGGAAGCCCAGTTAAGTTCTGTGCGGGAAGCCGACATCGGCAAGGGTTACTCCAGTTGCAGGACTTATCTGGAGTCGCAGAATTCAGCACTGTTTTTTAAAGATGCAGCATATACGAAGCTGTTAATGTTTGTGAGAAGACTTTTGTGTTCTAGGATGCACCGGGGAAAGGATAAAGCCACCGGGGAGCCTCTGAAAATGGGCACTGATGGGACGTGGGAAAGGATCCCCTGCACTCTCTCAGCATCTGGAGTCCAGGAGCACCCAAGAGACCAACAAGACTTTTGGGGTAGCAGCTTTCAAGATTCAGGGCTCCCTTCATCAGATACGAGCGGTGACTCTGGAATGCTCCTACCACGAAAATCTGGCCGGTCTCTCAGGTGCTGCTGGACTTGGATCCAGCTGTTCTCCTGCAGACCAGCACGGCTCCCCTCTGGAACTGGACTCTCGGCAGTTGTTGGGGGACGACGACACCCCAAACAGTATGCCACAAAGTGTGATCCTGCGCACAGAATTCGTCTTCTCCCAAATTGGGGGGGGGGGGCATTTTTAAAAGCACCTTCCTAGTTCTTGTGAGGGCATGCTTGGAAGTGTGTGGGAAATGCTTCCAGGACCCCAGGGTGCCGTTGAGAAAGCTTCCAGCTGGCCAGAGAAAAGGGCCTTCCGTGCCCTCCCCCATGACCAGTAGAGTTCAGCAGCCCTGCACAGAGACACCTGTGCCCATTGCAGATTGGAATGCGTATTTATGGATGTATTAAGCTTATTTGTCCAAAAAAAACCCTAAAAATAACAATGTGCAAATACTACACATTTTAAAAAGCCATTCAGTAAAGGCGGTCTGTAGCAGTAACGTCATCTGCCGTCCATGTTAAAACCCGCAGGTGGTCAATAAGTTCAGCAGCATCAGATTAGTGAGCGACATGAAAGCCGCAGTAGCTGAGAAAAAGGCCCCGGCTAGCCCGATCTCCTCCGGTCTTGGGAGCTAAGCAGGGCCGGCCCTTTCTAGTGCTTGGATGGGAGACCACCAATGAAGTCTGGGGGTGGCTTGGCAGAGGCAGGCCATGGCAAACCACCTCCAGGCGTCGCTTACCTTGAAATCCCACGAGGCATCACCATAAATCAGCTGTGACTTGATGGCAAAAAAAAAAAAATGGTGAGGATATAGGCCAGGATTAAGCTTAGCAAGGAGGAGACAAATGTTCTGGCTTAAAAGCCAGTTTCTTCCGACGAAAAAGGGTACTCCGGGGGTCCCTCAGACCAAATGTTTGTCTTCCTCTTCCTTCAGATCGGGTTCATCAGACCCCACCCCATCCTGACCCGGCTCGTCTCTGAGGCTGCCGAGACCACCCTCACCTTCGACTCCTTTGTCATCCCCATGCTGTGCCCGCCGGTGCCGTGGGTCTCTCCTTCCTTCGGCGCTTACATCCTCAACCCCACCAAGCTCATGCGCTGCGTGGACGGGGCGGTACAGCACCAGCTGCTTCTGGAGCGGTGCCCCCGCGGGAACCTCTTTTCAGTCATGGACGCGCTCAACCAGTTGGGCAACTGCCCGTGGAAGGTCAACCGGGCCATCCTGGACATCGTGATCTCCATTTTCAACGACAAAGGGAACGAGAAGCTGGATGTCCCGCCCCCGCCTTCCGAAGCCCCCCAGCCCACCAGGCTTGCTCTCGGAGGCGCCCCCTTGACCAAGTCCGCCTTGAAGCGCGAGATGGCCCAGTGCCGCAAGAAAGCCATGGAGATGTTCAGCCTGCGCATGGACACCCTCTACAAGCTGTCCATCGCCAGGCACATGGGCGACCAGGCCTTCTGGTTCCCCCACAACATGGACTTCCGCGGGAGGACTTACCCCTGCCCACCTCACTTCAACCACCTGGGCAACGACCTCACGCGGGCCATCCTCGTCTTTGCCGAGGGGAAGCCGCTGGGCCCGCGGGGCCTGGATTGGCTGAAGATCCACCTCATCAACCTCACTGGGCTGAAGAAGAAGAGCTCCCTGCAAGACAGGCTGGCCTACGCCAACGAGATCATGGAGGACGTCCTGGATTCAGCAGACCGCCCGCTGACGGTGAGGACGAATTGCGCACGTGGGGGGCCTTTCCACCTCGAGTGGGAGCCGATGGGATCCAGGACGTAGAGAGGCGGTCCTGGAAGTGGGCGTTCTGTGTTGGAGATCTTTCTTGGCAGTGGAGTTTTATGGTGTCAGCCTTGAGAAGGGGGCTGTTGTCGAGCCCTGGCCTTTACCCGCGAGCCGTCCCTCTTGCCTACTTTGGGCAGTTCTTAATGTTCGAGCACCGAGGCGGGGCCTGGTGGGGCTTTTGCCCGGCAGGGCCTCTGATTGGCTATGCAGTTTAAAAGGCATCCTGTCAAACAGAGCCTCTGCCTGAAGTGAAGATTTTGCCCGGCGGGGCCTCTGATTGGCTATGCAGATTAAAAGGCATCCTGTCAAACAGAGCCTCTGCCTGAAGTGAAGAGGTACTACATTGAAGAGGGGCTCTTAGAGTCACATACAACCTTGACTGTTGTGGTTGGCTCCGCCCCCCCCTTGGCAGTCATTTTGTGATTGTGCTCACCGCCCTTTGTCAAAATCCCAAAGGCGCCCATAAGCTCAAAAATGTGGGGGCCCCATTCTGGCGTGCAGAGGTGGACTCGGCTGAGTGGCGGGAGGGGGGACGGGACTGGCCCAGCCCAGCTTTGCCCAGAGAGCTTCGTGGCTCAAGCAGGTGGGAATCGGGCTCTAGACCAGAGCTTGCGTGTCACGTTGGCTTGCCGCCTTCTTGGAGCACCAATGAGGGGATGGTGCTCATCTCTGAGAGCCAGCAGTGGTGTAGGGGTTAAGTGCGCAGACTCTAATCTGGGAGAACCGGGTTTGATTCCCCACTCCTCCACTTGCACCTGCTGGTGTGACCTTGGGTCAGTCACAAGCTCTGGCACAGCTGTCCTTGAAAACGAGCAGTTTGTGTCAGAGTTCTCTCAGCCCCACCTACCTCACAGGGTGTCTGTTGTGGGGAGGGGAAGGGAAAGGAGTTTGTAAGCCGCTCTGAGACTCCAAGTGAAGGGCGGGGTATAAAGCCAATCTCTTCTTCTTCTT